AGATGATGGACTATTTTGGGCCTTTTCTCAATTATATGATTATCAAATAACTTTATGTTTCATATATATTTTCCTTTATTACATTATTTACTGTTTAAAATTATTAGTGTTATTATTTGATTTTTATTAACTTATCACTTGGCTTGATATAATTATGAAATGCTCTTCTTATTTATATGATAAATATATCTATTTCGTTTACTTGTGAGTTTTAAACTTTTAATTTTTTAATTTGATCTTTCACATCTTCTTAGTTTAAAATTTATGAATAATATGCATATTATCTAACTAATTTAATAATTCTCAAAGTAGTTTAAAGTATTTTCTCCCACACCCCTTCCCTTTTTTTGTTCTTTTTTTCTATTTTATTTTAAGTGTTTTTAGCTAATTTAATTTTGAATGATTTTTTTATGTTACACTTCATAAGTAATTGAGTTATTTTCTTTTTTTTTTTATTTCAAAATATAGAATATTAAGTTTAAATTTATGTTACTTAGATTTTTATATTTTGATGTGCCGTTATTTATTAAATTAAAAAAATACTTTATCATCTAAAAGAAGAAGTTTCCTTCAATTTTTACACTATATTTGTAACTTGTTTCCTAGTTTGTCCTGACTTAATAGTTATTGAATATTCATCAATTGGTAACTTAACATTATTATTGTAATGACCCGGAAGGTCCTTTTTGAAAATCTTCGTAAGGTTATCGTTTTACCCCTTCTGATAGTTGCTCCCAGTTATTTTTTATCAGCTTATGAAGTTGGTTTGGGAATTTTGAACTATTCGTTTAACTATAGTTAATTAATTGACCGATAATTTTTAAACAATTAATTTAGTTATTTGTGTGTTAAAATCTCTACTTCATGTTTCGAGCCTCGTTTGAACTGGGAAAAACCTATGTTTGCCCCTTCTAACCAACGCATTTCATTTAATAGGTCATCACAGACGCCCACAAAATATTTCGGCCAAAAAATCATCGAGCGCACATATCACCCAAAATTCATGTACTATAACAAACGAGAAATGAAAAAATCTTTATTTCCAGTTCTGGCCTCGTTTGAACTTTAAAATACCAACGTTTTGCCCCTCTGAATCAATGCACGTCATTTAATAGGCCAACACGGATAACCACAAAAAAATTGGCCAAAAAATCATCGGGCGCACATATCACCCATAATTCATGGACTATACAGACGAAAATTTAAAAAAAATCCTATTTTCTATTTCGGACCTCGTTTAAACTTGAGAAAACCTATGTTTGCCCCTCCGAACCAAAGTGCGCCATTAAGTAGGTCGTCATGAATGCCTTCGAAAAATTTTGGCCAAAAAACCATTGTGCGCACATATCACACAAAATCCATGGACTATAACACACGAAAAATGGAAAAATTCTTATTTTCAATTCAGGCCTCAGTTGAACTAGAAAATTTATGTTTGCCCCCTTTGAACCAATGCACGCCAATTAATAGATTGTCACGGACGCCCACAAAAAATTTCATTCAAAAAGATCGTCAGACACATATATCACACAAAATTCATGGACTATAATGGAAGAATCCTCATTTCCTGTTTCGGACCTCGTTTGAACTTGAAAAAAACCTATGTTTTCCCCCTCCAAACCAACGGTAACCATTTAATAGGTCGTTATAAATGTCGACAAATATTTTCAACCAAAAAATCATCGAATACACATCTCACAAAATTCAAGGACTACACATGTAAAATAGAAAAAAATCATATTTCTCGTTTCACGCTTCGTTTTAACTTGAAAATAGCCAGGTTTTCCCCTTCGAACCAACGCGCTCCATTAAGAAGGTCGCCACGGACACCATAAAAAATTTCGGTCAAAAAATCGTCGGGCACATATCAGATAAAATTTGTGGGCTATAACACATGAAAATGGAATAATCCCTATTTCATGTTCTAGGCCTCATTTGAACTAGAAAAAAAAAACTAAGTTTGCCCCTTCAAACCAACGCACGTCATCAAGTAGGTCGTCATGGACGTCCAGCAAAAATTTCGGCCAAATAATCGTCAGGTGCGCATATCACTCAAAATCTATGAACTATAACACATGAAAAATAGAAAAATCCCTATTTTTCGTTCCGGACTTCGTTTGAACTTGAAAAAACCTACGTTAGCCCCTTGAAACCAACGCACGCCATTAAATAGGTCGTCACAAACGCCCATGAACAATTTCGGCCAAACAATCACCACTCGCACATATCACCCAAAATTCATGGACTAATAACACACAAAAAATGGAAAAAATCTCAATTTTCTGTTCCGGACCTCGTTTGAACTTGAAAATTCCGACGTTTTCCCCAGTGAACAAAGGCACGCCATTTAGTAGGTCGTCACGGACACCCACAAAACTTTTCGGCCAAAAAATTGTCGGGCGCACATATCACACAAAATTCATGGACTATAAGTCTATAATACACAATGTATCCGACAACTGAGAAATATATCTGATAATATAGGAATGTATCCGATGCAACATAATCTTAAGTAATGTATCATTTGTAATGTATTTCACCACAGAGGAATATATCTGCGAGTGATGAAAAATAAGGAATTTTTGTAATTGAAGAAACTTTTGCGATAGGACGTAATTAACCCCTAAATGTATGAGATTTATGTGATTTGTCCTAATTATAATGGAGAGATTGTATATGTAAGATTAATATGAAAGATGAATATCGAGAGATTAGTAATGAGGAGGTTGTTTTTGATAGATTCTCGACTCAAATAATAAAGTATATCAAAAACAAGTTAAAATTACATAAATTATCGCATAACTTGATGCAAAAATTATTTAATACAAAAATTATTTTGTTATAGAACGATATTTTTCCCCTTATGCAGAAAATGAAAGAGTTTTTGGCGAAAAACATCCTTAAACTATACCCTCAACTTAAACTACATCCTTAAATTATCTTTCTTAACAAAAAAAACATCCTCCAAGTATTTAAAACTTAACAACTTCCATCCCTCTATTAAAATTTATCAAAAAATTAGTGGAATATATTATTTATCTGTACTTTATTAATGAGATAAGAATTCTTAGTGGGACGTTCTTTTCATATATCCTTCGAAAAAATAGGAATTGTTAGATTTCCTGTATCGAAGAGAGAAGCTGAGTCGGGATGAGGGAATTGTTTCTATGCTTTTCTCAGATAATACGTTACCAATTGTCAATTCTTGGTCATTGTCATTGAGATTCATGTCAATTGGGATTAATATTTAGGTATAGATATTTCCTCTCTTTTTTTCTCCTTTCAAACAAAGAAAAATGTCCACACAAAAACATATGCAATTCATACTATTCTCTTGAAAATAAATTATATAATTTTATTACTTGTTGGTAAAAGCTTCCAATTTATTTATTTTTTTGAGACCCTTGTTTGCTATTTAAAAAAAACAATGTTATGACGGTGTGAGTCTACGAGGAGACATGATCTACTCTTCTCCTTTACCAACTAAATAGAGTTGGAGCTTAATTTTACACTATTTTCACCTTGCAAAGTCATAATATCGTTAGATCTAATTTTTTTGGGCAAACTGATAGTTGAGGTAATCAAGATTCAACTAATTTTGATCTCTAGTCGTTGAGTTTCGTTTTCCATTATTAGAACTAAAAGTCTCTGATTGACACCACTTTTTGTAGATCAATGAGAAGAAAACATTTCAACCGATAAATTTTTGATATCAAATGATATGAAAAGTAAATAAAAACAAAATTGCTAATCAAAAGGAAGACAATGCAAAACGTTGTTGCTAAAAAAATTCACAATATCTTAATTTAATATGTAGAATGAACAAAATTGGTTTATTGGGGGTGATTTAGGGAGTTTTGTTGAGAATAGTGTGAACCGTACATGTTTTTGTGAAGGATTTGTTAATTTTTGACAAATTTTAACAAAAGGATGAAAGTTGTCAAATTTTAAATAATTGAGGAATGTTTTCTGTTAAAAACAATAATTTGAGGATGTAGTTTAAGTTGGGGTATAGTTTAAGAATGTTTATGACCAAAAATCACAAATGAAACATTGCATTATGGTATCCGGAATTTATGGTGAGATTAATTATCCCAAACCACAAAAAAAATGTCCCGTAAAAGAGAAGCCTGCTTATTACAGAAATAATTATAATAGTTATCAGTTCTTGATGAGCTTCCTAAGAATGTGACAAAGTCAATCAGATGATTAATATGATTTACACCACCAAATTTCGACCAAATTGACAAAAAAATACAATTTTATGCTAACTTCAAATGTTTAATTTTTTTAACAAGAGCTTCAAATGTTTTATTAGCTCATACTACTGCAGTCCGAAGTACCTTCTCTATTTACATTTGATTATATGTTTTGTTTCAAGGTTGTGATATTTATTTACATTCATCATTGTAATGTTGTTGCTTTAATTCTCAACTGAGGAACATATTAGTGAAATAGGATAAATTGTAAACTACTAATCTGTATTTTATGTGGTATTTAAATGTTCATATTGTTAAATGATCAGCTTTTGGTATTCTGGGCCATAGCAACTGATCTAAAGAAGGTAAATGTGTCATCGGAGGTGCACCTAAGGCCCAAGGGTATGACCCAGTGATCAATGAAGTGAGTTAAGAATCACGAGGTTTCAATTTCGAGTTGAGGTTGGTATATTGGTGATTCATTTAACTGACGTTCTTGGTGGTGAATTGTTTGTTGTCCTGTTCTCTTTGGATTTGTTTTGTATTGTGATTTTCAGACTGCATATTTTATTGCTGACTATTTTCATCAAATTAAATTAAACTATGTTATCATCGAAGTCAATTTGCCAGCCATATGAAAAATATCCATTTAATTAGCAGTGACTGATTGTATTTGGCTGCTTGTGCAAACTGTTTTTTGTTAATTATCCTTTAGGTTGAGAATCCAATGATTGAAGGCAGCCCGAAAAATTGTCATTATATAGTTAAATTGATGTCCTAATGGTCCTTAGAGGTCCAAAAATGGCGAGGCCACGGGAGGCGATTGCTGAATGCCTTTCTGAATTGCAATCTGAATCTCAAGAGAATCAGCAGAAAGCTCTGCTAACATTGGTTTCAATCACAAAGGTGAGCCCTCAAAATCGGAACTTGTTAGCGCAAACAAATGGTGTTGTTTCTACCTTGCTCAGCCTATCGATGTCTCCATCATCAACTACTATTCAGCTTCTCGCGCTCTCAATTCTATTCAATCTCTCACTCAATCCTAATCTCAAGCAAACTCTAGCAGACATGGAGAAAATCCTGTTTCTCAATTCGGTGATTATGTCTTCGACTTCAGCTGAACCAAGTAGGATAGCAGCTTCACTTCTATGTAGTTTGGCAATGTTAGATAAAAACAAGGCAAAATTTGGTGTGGCTGGAACGGTTGAGGCTCTAGTTAAGGTCATCTCGAGGTCACGAGGCCCTGCTTCGCATCATTTCCTGAGTACATTGGCTGAATTGGTGCAGTTTCATGGGAATTGCACGGTGGCTGTTCAATCAGGGGCAGTTCCGGTGCTGATCAAGTTGGTGGAAGATTCTGATTGCGAGGATCTTGCTGGAACATCCTTGGCGATACTATGCTTGCTTGCGAGGTTTGAAGAGGGACTAACTGCTTTGAAAGAGATAGATAAAATTGTGGCATTACTAATCGAAATTTTGAAGGGAAAGTGTATGTTGAGTAAAGAGGGAGCTGCTGATATTCTACTCCGTTTATTCGAAGAAAGTGAGGGATGCATAAGAGATGCTTTGAGGCTGCCTGAGTTTTCATCTGTGCTAGCTGATCTCTCGGTTCGAGGGTCAGTGAAAGCTCGAGAGAAGGCTAGTTTACTCATGAAGAAACTAATGGAAGCTAACATGGATGTTGTTTATGGTGATACTGGCAACAAAACAGCTGCATATTTGCAATGGTAATACGACAGAATGCCCGTAGATGCAGATTATGGATTTAAATTTTATGGATTCAATATTTATGTTCTCACCACTGAATACACCGCGCTTTTGCAATTATGGGATCAATACTTAATATTCGTTGACCATCAATGGTTTTACATATATGTATAATGTATCTACCCTCCGTGGAAAAAATGTTGGGTTCAGTTGAATTCGTTGGTATTGAAGGAATCAATTAACCAAATAAAAGAACCAGATTACTCTTCTAGCAAGTTGTTAGCTTGCCTTTTGAAATATGTTTTTGTATGTTGGATGTACTTCATATGTTCTTGTACACTTTGTCCTTAAATCAAGCGATTCATGGAAGATCCATGCAAGCACTAGTGATACACTCGATTTGATAAATATAACTAATACACGATAAATTATGATATTAGCAATACAACAGTTTTTAATGTATATATTAGCATGGTTAAATATACAAATGTTCTTCAAAATCTTTTTCACATTCTTTCCACCATATTTTGTAGATGGTATTTTTGTAAACAAATAACTTTTTTTTTAAAAATGATGTGATGTATATTATGTTTAATATACCAAACCAAACAGTACATACAAATAGTTTCAACATTATTAATGTCAACATTACTAATATATTTAATTTGATATTATTTTTATACACTCTATCAAACAATTATTTGTTGACCGATCCCCTGGCTCTTCTTCAGCCGCGGGAAGGCTTAGTTCTGTTGAAGAGCTTACACCCCTCTAGCACTTAAAAAATGGGATGGGTGATCCATAAGATCATTTGGCGAGATTCAGTTGCGTGGGAATCTTTCTGAAAATCAAAACTAGTTTTGTTGGGTAACCCACAACAAGACAATAATGTATTTTCCCGAACATGATATAAAATTGATCACCACTTGGGCCACTTTTGTGGCATTGTTATTAGAATTGACCATACTTCCAAAATTATAGTAGCAGTCTGGAGTTCAAAGATGGCCGGCCACTTGTTTTAAATCTCGAGTCTAGTTTTCAAAGCTTGGCAACCTTCTAAATATAAGACCGCAAAAGTGACATAATATTGAAGGTTTTGTTCTTCAAATAGATTGATATGTATTTTTATTTTTAGCAATTGAATTTATGCTTATTTGGACACAAGTTCCTTAAAAATTAAATTTATATCAAAATATAACTTATGAGATATTATATACAAAAAAGAAGAAGTTATATACTGAAGAAAAAAAATTATTATAAAAGACAAAAATTAAAGACTAGCACAAAATAGAGACAGAAGTGCAAGTGACAGCCTCATCTAAATAGGCAGATTTACACATATAGCCCTTTTGAGGACCAAATCAAGTTTCATTGCAGAAATCATAAAATCAAACCAAGTTGAAAGCTGAATTAAAGAATGGCAAAAGGATCTGGTGGACCCTTGTACTGATGGATTCAATATTTATGTTCTCACCATTGAATTCATCGCACTTTTGCAATTATGGGATCAAAACTTAGTATGCGTTGAGATTTCGTGGAAAAAAATGTTGGTTTCAGTTGAATTCGTTGGAATTAAAGGAATCAATTAACCAAATAAAAGAACCAGGATACTCTTCTAGCAAGTTGTTAGCTTGCCTTTTGAAATATGTTTTTGCATGTTGGATGTACTTCATATGTTCTTGTACACTTTGTCCTTCAATCAAGCAATTCATGGAAGATTCATGCCAGCACTAGTGGTACACTCGATTTGATAAGTATAACTAATACGCGACAAATCATGGTATTAGCAATACATGAGTTCTTAATGCATATATTAGCATGGTTAAATATACAAATGTCCTTCAAAACCTTTCTCACTTCCTTTCCACCGTATTTTGTAGATGGTATTTTTATAAACAAATAACTTCTTTTTTTCTAGAAATGATGCGATGTATGTTATTTTTAATATATCAAACCAAACAGTGCATACAAATTAGTTTCAGCATAATTAATATCAATATTACTAATATATTTAATTTGACATTATTTTTATACATATGAAACGATTATTTGTACGTGGGTAACAAGACAATAATGTATTTTCTCGAACATGATAAAAAATTGATCACCACTTGGGCCATTTTTGTGGCATTGTTATTAGAATTGACCATATTTTCGAGGGCAAATTACAGAAATCACATACTTTAATTTAAGGCAAAATTACAATCTATCCCTTAAAAGTTTATAATTACAGAAATCCCTCAAACGAATACAATAATATAAGCGCTGATACATTAATCTGATGCGCGAGATACATTAATCGTTAAGTAAGATACATTACATTTTATACATGATACACTAATCTGATGTACATTTTATACATGATACAATAATCTGATGCGCGAGATACAATAATATAAGCGCTGATACATTAATCTGATGCGCGAGATACATTAATCGTTAAGTAAGATACATTACATTTTATACATGATACACTAATCTGATGTACATTTTATACATGATACAATAATCTGATGCGCGAGATACAATAATATAAGCGCTGATACATTAATCTGATGCGCAAGATACACTAATCCGATGCGCGAAAATGAGAAATTTTGGAGATTTGTAAAACTTATAGGGGATAATGGTAATAAGTATACTAAAATGTGGATTTCTGTAATTTTTCCTTTACAAAATAGAGTAGCAGTCTAGAGTTCAAAGGTGGCCGGCCACTTGTTTTGAATTTTGTAGTTCAAAACAAATATGTAAATCTCGAGTTTAGTTTTCAAAGCTTGGAAACCTTCTAAATATAAGACCGCAAAAGTGAAATAATATCGAAGATTTTGTACTTCAAATAGATTGATCTATATTTTAAATTTTTAGCAATTGAATTTATGCTTATTTGCACACAAGTTCTTCAAAAAATTAAATTCATATTAAAATATAACTTATATATATATATATGTATGTATTTACCTTAAAAGCATGAACTCCTAACTTGAATGTTAAATTACTATAATATCCCTAACTTAGGTTGTGACTTTTTCAAAGATTGTGACTTTTCTGATAAGTTATGACTTTTCTCAAAGGGTTGTGATTTTTCGATGAGTTGTGACTTTTCCAAAGAAATGTGATTTTTTCAAAGAGTTGTGACTTTTTCAATAAGTTGTGACTTTTCGAAAGGGTTGTGACTTCTCGGAAAGGTCGTAACTTTTCAGATAAGACACAAAAAATAATTGTTCATACTACCCTTTGTTGACTATAAATAAAAGGGTTTCCTCTCATTTTTCTACCACAATTTTTTTAATCTACTACTCTTCTTCTTCTTGCATTTTGAAATTTTTTGTGTGATTTATTGTCGTTGAGTGAGTTCGAAGTTTAGCGGAATATGAGGTACCACTATTCTGATGAAGTAAATTATTCTATCCTGACAGGGTATGTTCCTTAACCTCGAGTACTTGAGAGAAATAATTATGATGATATAATAATTATTTTGTTGCTTAGTATATACATTAGTATGTAATGTTTCAATATATGAGGTTAACGTGATGTAGTCTAAAATCATTTATTTTTGTTAACAATTTCTCTTGTGATGTAGATATATGCTTCTGAATATCTTTTTCAGAAATTATTAAACTTCTCAAGAGTTTGGGAATTGTCATAATTTATTTTTTTGATGTTCAAGACAAAATAATGACTTTATTTATTAAGGGAAAAGGGTCAAATATACCCCTAAACTATTCAAAAATATCTAGATATACCCCCGTTTGAAGTTTGGCTCATTTGTGCCCTCGTCGTCCAACTTTTCGCGCATATATGCCCTTGTAGACTTTAGTTGCTTTGCTGAAAATAACCAACTCATTTTTCTTTTCTTTAAATAGCAAATGAAATTGTCACATCCCCTTTTAATTACCACGTATCATTTATTTATATTAAAAAATGAATACACTTCTTTTAAATAGGATATCCGACCCGTAAATTCTATCCGACCCAAATTTCTTTGGTGGATATTTCACATAAGCCGACAAATCATGTCTGACCCAAATTCCTTTGGTCGGAGAAACGCCATCTCCAACCTAACCCATCACTTTCTCCTAAAAGAAAAACACCATTAAAGGCGAGCTTCGAGCTCTAACCATGAGCAATAGAGCTCCAATCCGATTCGCACAACCTCGGACAAACAACTACCAAATAGCTCCGACCACCACGAGCTCCAAAACACTACCCCCAAGGTAGCCAACAAAACACCAACCCACACACCTCATTGGTCTAGCAAGACAACTAGCAAACGACCCCAAAACAACTGTGTTTCAGATGTCAAATGTTATCTTATTTTAGATCTGGTAGGAGGAATTCAAACTCCGGCCACCTTGGGTCAGATATCCTATTTAAAAGAGGTGTATTTATTTTTTAAATATAAATAAATGTCACGTGGTAATTAAAAGGGGATGTGGCAATTCCATTTGTTATTTAAAGAAAGGGAAAATGAATTGGTTATTTCCAGCAAAGCAACTAATGTCTACAAGGGCACATATGCGCGAAAAGTTGGACGGCAAGGGCACAGATGAGCCACACTTCAAATGGGGGGGGGGGGTATATCTAGACATTTTCGCATAGTTTAGGGGCATATTTGACCTTTTTCCCATTTATCAATGCTACTTGTGTGATTTAGATTGTCAGAAAGTTTGCTTTAAAATAGTTATTACTATATAAACATTGCCCTTTTGTTTTACTGATTTACTATTTCTTAATATTTAAGTATTTTCAACGAAGAAAAAATTATATGACTTGTAATAAGGCAAGTTGAAGTTTGTATTATTTTAATTTTTATTGTAGTCTAAATTCATTTGTTTTTGTTAACAATTTCTCTTCTGATGTAGATATATGTTTTTGAATATTTTTTTCCAAAATTATTAAACTTTTCAAGAGTTAAAGAATTGTTACGATTTGTTTTTTTGATGCCCAAGACAAAAGAATGAATTTATTTATCAATGCTACTTATGTGATTTAGATTGTCAGAAAGTTTGCTTCAAAATAGTTATTACTATATAAACATTGCCCTTTTGTTTTACTGATTTACTATTTCTTAATATTTCAGTATTTTCGAAGAAGCAAATTTCATATGACTTGTAATAACACCAGTGGAAGTTTGTATTAGTTTAACTTTTATTGTAGTCTAAATTCATTTGTTTTTGTTAACAATTTCTCTTGTGATGTACATATATGTTTCTGAATATCTTTTTCCAAAATTATTAAACTTCTCAAGAGTTAGAGAATTATCACGATTTGCTTTTATGATGCTCAAGACAAAAGAATGACTTTATTTATCAATGCTACTTATGTTATTTAGATTATCTGGAAATTTGCTTAAAAATAGTTATTACTATGTAAACATTGCCTTTTTGTTTTACTAATTTACTATTTCTTAATATTTCAGTATTTTCGACGAAGAAAATTTCATATGACTTCTAATAACGCTCATCTATTGCACATTAATTCTTTAGTTATAACATTATAAATTATCTTAGTTATTACTAATTATCACAAATGTTATTCACATTCTTTAGTTAAAATAATATGAATTCTCATAGTTATTACATTAGTTATTTCTATCTTTCATCTTTCCTTATTTTAACTTTTGACCAATATTTTTCATATTTTTAGACCGCCCCTATATATGTGATAACACGGTGTTGTTATTTTTTCTTGGACGAATCATGCTTGGTTGAATAAATTGAAAATTGTTTGCAAGTGATAGAATATATTCTTTAATTTTAAATTTTAGTTTTTTCGGTAAAAAAAAAAAAACCTTTCTCAGTTAACTATGGATAGTCAGATAACTATCTTTGATTTATGAACACAGACAATCGAGAAGTCAAATATGAGAGCCAACAAAAAGAATGTCATCTATTATGTTATAACTTATAAAATAAAAATTAATACACAAAAATAGTTCTAAAAATGAAATGTACTTGGTCTCCACATGTTCATATGACATCTAAATAGATTAAGTGGAATAAACGTGTGAAACACATCTGGTTAGATAACATGAAAAATACACAACAAAAATATCGTCTATAAGGTAATATTAGTGAGATACAACTAATTACATAATTGAACCTCATCAAATTGAAATAAATATATACATTATTGCATTTAACTAATAAATTTTTCATTTATGATCTTCATAGGTTCGTGTGAATAAGAGATATATATGACGATCCACGTTGAACATTCACAAAAAAATCTACAATATTATTTTGCGCAAAGCTTATTATTCAAATCTCCGCTTGAATTTTCTGAATTGATAATCACGTGCAACGCACGTGTCAAAAATCTAGTGTGTATATATATTACCCTTATTTAGAAGAGGGGGTTGTGAAGGACCAACACAGCTCCAAAAACTTGTTCC